GTAGCAGACCCTGGACTAAATGCTGTTTGTTTTGAGATGGAGTCTCACGTAGCCCAGGCTAGCTTTGTACTCTGTAACTAGAGTTGGCCTTGAACTTTCTGATCCTCCTGCCTCCACTACGTATATTCTGACTACAGGCTTCTACCATCATACCCCACCTGACGTTATGCAGTTCTGGGGTTCAAACCCAGGGCTTAGTGCATGCTAGGCAGGCACCCTATGAGTGGAGCTATCTCCCCAGTCCAGGACCAGAATCCTCAAACCATTCTATCCCACCCTTATATATTTGCAACATCTTTCTAGACCTTTACCATTAAATAAATTAATCTTTGTTTTTTGAAATCATACCTCCTATCCTCGACTCCACATAGACCTTCGTCACCCCCCCCCCCCAACATTTGACATTTGCAATAACCTTCTGATAAAGGGATCTGTTTCTCAACTTTTCCTGTTATCCATTCTGGCCTCATTTTTCTGCAGTCACTTCCTTCAGTTCTCAAAGCCCTTCCCTGCTTGCAGAGAAGGGTATCCTGGTATCCTGTGGTGTTCTCTACTCTCTGTAGCCCAGGCTAAGTGCGGACTCAGGGACAGCATTCACCGCATACATCCTCTTTGTTTTTCCTTCTATCCGTGCTTTTACAACTTGGATTCTTGAGAATTTTATTAGTCTGGGTTTTCTGACGAATGTATGTGCATTATCGTAAGACAGGATCAAAAGCTGGGTAGGCTCCCAGCAGCCATCTGAAGGCTACAGAGTCAGGAAGTCCTTTAGCTGCTCAGTCCAAGAATCTGGAAACTTCTGAACCAAGAGGAACCGGTGTGCAGTGAGCACGCTGGTGTTATGGGTGTGCACCACTGCTGACTTATTCTTTTTTTGTTGTTTGATGCTGGATCTCTACATAACCCTGGCTGTCATGGAGCTCACTATGTACATCAAGCTGGCCTTGAACTTGCCGAGATCCTCCTGTCTCTGCCTTGGGTGTCCTGGGATTGCAAGCAAGCACCATCCTGACTTGTTAGGTGGGTTCTGGGGATCGAACTGAGGTCATCAGGTTTGAGGGACAAACGCTTTTTCCCTGATGAACCGTCTTAACAGCCCAAGCATACAGGAATTTGATAACCTTCCCTAGGGCTCTGTAAGTTTTGTATTCAGACCTTCAGATGAGCCATTGTCAAAGTTCAAGTACTTCCAGACCACCTCCAGGATTGTAATTTCTTTCCTAATTGTAACTTCCTCCCTCCCTCTCTCCCTTCCTCACCCCCCTCCCTTCCTCACCCCTCCCTCCCTCCCTCCCTCCCTCCCTCCCTCCCTTCCTCCCTTCCTTCCTTCCTTTCTCCCTTTCTTTTATTTCTTTCTGTTTTGAGACAGGATTTCTTTGTGTAGCCCTAGCTGTACTGTAACTCACTATGTAGACCAGGCTGACTTTGAACTCACAGAGATCCACTTGCCTCTGCCTCCTGAGTGCTGTGGGTGAAGGTGTGGACCATCTCACTAGGCAATAGTAACTTTCTAAATGCCAAAGTGGACTCACTCTGAGGTATTATGTAGATACTATTGTTTATTATTATTATTATTATTATTATTATTATTATATTACATGCTGACGACAGGTTCCTCTCCCTTCTCTCCTCCCAGCTACTCTGCTCCACCCAAAGTGGATATTTTAAAGGAACACGGAAGACTGTCTTCTAGGAAATTTCTTGGGATTTATGAAAACCTTATTTTGAAGCAGAGTGGGAATTTCTGGTTCGTGTGACTTACTTCCTTTTAAGTTTTTTTTTTATTTTTGACATTTAATATTTACTTATTTATTTATAGCATATGTGCACACACTCATGTACCAAGGGAGTGTGTGGAGATCAGAGAACAACTGTGGGAGCTGGTTTTTTCCTTCTGCCAGGAGTGCTGGGGCTCGAACTCAGGTAGTCAGTCTTGGCTGCAATCCCCTCTATCTACTGAGCCCTTCTTCTCTTTTTACAGCACCCATATGTTGGGAATAGAATAGGCTCAGCACTAACTCCTGTTAGGATTTAGAAATGCTGATGAAGTCCATATGTCTTGATTTGACAGCGGCATGGGCAAAGAGCAATTAGTAAGTTAACGAATTAAAATTCACTTATGTGTCCTCTGGGAAAGATTGTTAGGTAAGCTAAGACTCTCCTCATTTCCCATGAAGTTCTGAACCAAGCCTGCTTCTCTCTCACGAGCAGTGAGTTTTGACGCCCTGGGTTTACTCGTCCATCATTTCTTGATTCCTCCAGGAGCCATGATTTCAACGAAGATAAAACATACTGGTTCAAATATTTATTCTTGATAATAGAGAAATCCAACCAAGACTTTAATTAATGAACTAGAAAATTATTTTGCTATACTCTGTTAAAGGCATTAGTTGGCATCGATTGCTTTGGGGGGCACTTAATTATACTTTTTATTCGAGAAGTGAAGACATGCAGATTCTGTGGGGCTCCCAAGAGAAATGGCTGATTTTAGTTGGGGGCAGGAGGAAGGCTGAGTGAACAGCTGGGTTGTTGAGCAAGAGAGTCAGGGCAATGCTCATATTAAACTAAATTGGAGGGTGTTTACTGGCCAGTGAGGGAACTATTTGAACTTAAAAGAGTAACAGCTGTGTCTTAGGTTTTGCTGCTGTGAACAGATACCATGACCAAGGCAACTCTTATAAGGACAACATTTATTTGGGGCTGGCTTACAGGTTCAAAGGTTCAGTCCATTATCATCAAGGTGGGAGCATGAGAGCATCCAAGCAGGCATGGATCAGGCAGAGCTGAGAGTTCTACATCTTCATCTGAAGGCTGCTAGCAAAATACTGACTTCCAAGCAGTTAGGATGAGGGTTTTAAAGCCCATACCCACAGTGACACACCTACTAACAGGGATACACCCACTCCAACAGGGCCACACCCACTCAAACAAGGCCACACCTACTCTAACAAGGCTACACCTACTCCAACAAGGCCATACCTACTCCAACAGGGCCACAGCTTCTAACAGTGGCACTCCCTGGGCTGAACATATACAAACCATAACAGGCTGTGTCTGGTTGGAAAAGTTACTCTGAAGTTGGGCATTGGAAGGGAAGTATAGGGCACTTGCCCTGTACTTTTAGGAGGACCAATGGTTTTCAGCTACAGAAGAAAACCTCTTCTTTAGAGAAGAGTGACAAATCATTGTGTGATAATGGTACAGATAGAACACTCTGCTGTGACCTTTGAAGAAATCCCTGATTAAAGCAAAGGCCACCGATGTTTAGTAAAAATGTTTAAACTGGGTGTTGTGGCAGGTACGATATTGGAATGCTTTGGATTGTCAGCCTCTATTCTTGCTAATTATAAAAGGGAAATGGGCTTAAATTTTTTTTGTAGATTTATTAATTTTATGTGTTAATGTTTTGCATATATATGTGTGTGTGTGTGTGTGTGTGTGTGTGTGTGATATGCCCCTCCAGGAAATGTCTGTCATACAACAAAGTTTTGCAGTATTAGGAAAACTTCATGGAAATAGATCTGTCAGGGGCAGCCCTGCTTATACACTGAAGGCCTAAAATCAGCAATAGGCCTGACATACATGACTGCTAACACAAAGTCTTGGGTCTCTATGGAAAAACACTGAAACAGATGACTAGACGCTATTATAAACAAGCAGCTTTGGTGGAAAGTTGCCAAGTTTTAGTCATAGACCTTGTAGATAGGTAGCCTTGGTGGATAGTACCAACTTAGATAAGGACAAGTGAATCATAGGCAGAGTCACAGTGATCTGTCCCCTGAACCTTCACCCAGCTGACACTCTGTTCTGGAAGATAGCTGTACTCCCCCTGAACACCTACACTCCTGCGTCATCCCCTTCCCCCATCCTGCCTTTTTGTGTATATAACCCCTGTGTGAAAAAGTAAAAATGACGATTTGATCAGACTATAGACAGATCACCTTCTTTGCATCGGCCTGTCCCCCACTTTCTCTTTCAGGTGATCTCCCTGGACCCCTGTTTAATGCCCTGCTGGCCAGGACATAGATCTACAAAATCAAACACTTCATAAAGCAAGCAGTAAAGTAGATGTAAGGAGGCTGAGGAGATGACTTTGTGGTTAGGAGCACTTGTTGCTTTTTTTGCAGAGGACCTGGCATCTACATGGTAGTTCACAATCATCTGTAACTCTAGGTCTAGAGGATTTAAACCCTCCTCTGACCTCCATGGGACACACACACACACACACACACACACACACACACTCTACTCACTCCAGAAAAGAAACCTATGACAGACCAAAGTAGTGATTGTGCTAAAGTTCACCTTAGTGAACCAAGGAGTTTTTATTGAGGTTAGTTATAAGAACGTGGGGGAGGGCTGACTTACAGGAGCAGAAATGACCCAAAGGGGGCTGTGTTATTGAAATTGTCACCATGGGTGCCCCATCCAGCAGGGCATTAAACAGGAGTCCAGGGAGACCATCTGAAAGAGAGAACAGTGGAACGGGTGAACACAAAGAACAGCGGCTTGTCTATAGGCTGATCAAACCACTGATTTTACTTTTTTCACACAGGGGTAGTAGACACAAAAGGGCAGGATGTGGGGAAGGGGATGACACAGGAGTGTAGGTGTTCAGGAGGAGTACAGATATCTTCCAGAAGAGTATCAGCTGGGTGAAGGTTCAGGGGACAAATCACTATGACTCCGCTTATGATTCACTTGTCTTTTTCTAAGTTGGTACTATCCACCAAGGCTACCTAAGGTATATGACTATCCACAAGACCCATGACTACTTGTTCTCATCCAGGCTGGTAAATTTCCACCAAAGCTGCCTGTTTACAATATTTTATAGCTATCTGTTTCAGTGTTTTTCCACAGAGACCCAAGGCTTTGTGTTAGCAGGCTGACTTAGGCCTATTGCTGATTTTAGGCCTTCAGTGTATAAGCAAGGCTGCCTCTGACATATGAGTACTCATGAAATCTGCAATCCTGGAGCTCTCTGCATTGTTTGCACACAGCTCAACAGGCCCAAGAGATCTCCTCACTACAAAGAAGTTGGGAAGAGGCTCCTCCTTCACCAGGTCTGTACTCTTGTAAAACTTGGGCAGAGCCTTCTAGAGCCTTCCAAGTTCTGTTTTGTACCATAGTGTTCCGTTTACTTCTGGAATCTTATGAACCATCCCCTCCCCACTGGAGGAAGTTGCCTTACACATTCCTCAGGGTGATAATTTAAAAAAGATGTGCCCATAAACTGAGGTGGGAAGGCTGGCTGCCAAGAGGAGCTGGAGATGTTTCTTTGGAGCCCTGGAAAAAAGTCAAGAAGCTGAGCCAAGGGACACCTCACCCAGAATGGGGCTCCCACAGGGTGAGGCCAGAAGGGACTGGCCAGGAGGTAGAAGCTGCTAGAGCCAGGGCTGGGTGTGGTACTCTGGTGTGTTTCCAGCCTGAAATTATCCCCGAGGCACCGAGGATGTACAGCTCAGGATGTGTGTGTGTGAAATATCAACTCAATTACAGGAAAAGCACCATAATTTACAAGAAAAGCACTATAATTTATAATTTACTCCATGCTTCTTCCCACTTAGGTTTGAATGATGGTATAGATTACTGGCGTATGGTGGTCTGACTGAAAATGGCCCCCATAGACTTACAGGAAGTGGCCAAAAACTCAAGCCAAATCCAGTCTCTCACCCTTTTCCTGCTGCCTGCCGACCCGGATGTAGAACTCTCAGCTCCTCCTGCACCATGTCTGCCTGGATGCTGCCATGTTTCCTGCCATGATGATAATGGACTGAACCTCTGAAACTGTAAGCCAGCCCCAGTGATGGTCATGGTATCTGTTCACAGCAGTAAAGCCCTAGCTAAGACAGTGGATATAAAGGTTATTTACAAACATTTCCCTGCGTGTTGATTCGTTCCCCATTTCTCCATATCTGCCCTCTGCCCTTGCAACCTTTTCTCCAAAGGAAAACAAACAAACAAAAAAAAAAAAAAAAGAAAGAAGACAAAATAAAACCATCTCACCATGGAAGCTGCGCCTTGTCAGTGTCACAATGTGTCCCATGGTGTAACCCTTTGCCCAAACAGCTTTACCTGTAAATGCTCACTGGAGTGAGTCGTTGGTCTTATTTCTTTCTCATCCTGCAGATTTCTAGTTATAAGAAAGGATGTTTCATGGGCGGGAAAGAAGCTGAAGGTATATTTGCAAGCAGCATTGCTTGAGAAAAACATTTTTTTTTTCTTATTAAAGATTGGCTAGGGCTGGAGAGATGGCTCAGTGGTTAAGAACACCGTTTGCTCTTCCAGAGGTCCTGAGTTCAATTCCCAGCAATCAGTTGGTGGCTCACAACCATCTGTAATGGGATCCGAGGCCCTCTTCTGGTGTGTCTGAAGACAGTGACAGTGTGCTCACATACACGAAATAAATCTAAAAAAAAAAGATTGGTGAAGTGATGATAAGGCACAAGATTCCACTCCTGGTCTTTTGCATTATCATTGGCTACATAACCCACTTCTACAGTTTACCAACGGCATCAGTGGGTGTGGACTTCACAATGAGCTGATAAAACCAGGGGCATTGGAAGACCAAATCTACGGCAAAGAGCGTTAACATGAGTTCTGCTGATAACCAACTTGGAATTATAGGCGTTGACAGAGAGTTAGCTGCTAAGTGGACTGGAAACTGTTTTCTCAGGGTTAGATGGTAGGAATAGAATGCTGTGATAGACCCTTTCTTCTTCTTCTTTTTTTTTTTTTTTGGTTTTTCGAGACAGGGTTTCTCTGTATAGCCCTGGCTGTCCTGGAACTCACTCTGTAGACCAGGCTGGCCTTGAACTCAGAAATGCGCCTGCCTCTGCCTCCCAAGTGCTGGGATTAAAGGTGTGCGCCACCACTGCCCGGCCAGACCCTTTCTTCTGAAGGAGTATTACTTCTGTGGTGGTTTGAATATGCTTGGCCCAGGGAGTGTCACTATTAGGAGGTGTGTCCTTGTTGGAGTGGGTATGTCCTTGTTGGAGTGGGTGTGTCCTTGTCGGAGTGGGTGTGTTCTTGTTGGAGTAGATGTGTCCTTGTTGAAGTGGGTGTGGCCTTGTTGAAGTGGGTGTGGGCTTTAATACCTTCTTCCTAGCTTTATGGAAACCAGTCTTCTAGCAGCCTGCAGATGAAGATGTAGAACTCTCAGTTCCTTCTGTACCGTGGCTGCCTGGAAGCTGCCAAGCTCCCGCCTTGATGACAACGGACTAAACCTCTGAACCTGTAAGCCACCCCCAATTAAATGTTGTCCTTATAAGACTTGCCTTGGTCATGGTGTCTCTTCACAGCAGTAAAATCCTAAGATAGCTTCCCTACCAGTTAAGACAAAGCAAGTCCTAGCTTAGACATAAGGATTTCCATGCTTGACCGACCTCCCCCCCCCAAGTCACTGCCTTAGAACATGCAAGCTCTAGAGTTAAAAGCCTTAGAACAACTAGACAGGCAAACACCAAGGTTTCATAAGAACACACTTCTCTCTCTCCCCAGCCAATGTTTCCTTACCGCCATGACTTTACTCTTTTCTCACCGTTCCTGACTGCATTGGGAACCATGGCTGTCAATAGCTCAGGAAGTATTTGACAACTTTTATTCTCAGGAAGGGCTGGAGGTTTTCACTGTCGGCAAGGAAGACCCCAGAGACGATGTGCTGGTTGGTTTGGGTTGAATTCGATGTCCAGCACTCCTGGATCACTTGACTACCAGAGGTATAAGATTCAGCAGAACATGGAGATTACTTCAACTGTGTTGTAGAGACAGGATGAATGTTTTCAGAGTTTTCCCCCTTTTACCACTTGAGTACTGAAATTATAGGAGTGTACTGCTATCCCTGGGTTAAGCTTTCCTGTGCATTTTGCTCAGGGCTTGCTGTATCCTAGCCGGGCACTGTAGTAGCTGAACTGTATTCTCTGCCCCTACCTTTTCTGGATGTAGAAGGTTACTGTTCCCAGAGGAGCAAGATTCTAGGTGGATAGTAATTCAGGCTTTCTCTTCTGCTCTGTGAAATAAAAGTGAGTTATATTTGACTTGTTCCCCCAAAGCCCAAGGCGGCCACCAGCACCAGAAAAGCAGCCAGCATATACTTACTGAATGGATGGATGCAATTGTAGGTGGTCAGTTGGCTGCTGCTTGCAGTGAGCATTCTCATTCAGAAAAATAGGAGTGGGGTCATGAACCATCATAGGCAAGCAACAGACTGCAGTAGGTCCATCCAGCCCTGGTTATTCTCCTGTGAAACCACCCATTGGTGGGTATCTGTGGTGGGGGATAACAGGATAGAGTTCCTATAAGGGTGATTTTTTTTCTGGGACCATGTGCTTGCATGCCTACATGCATGTGTTCTTGTGTGCATGTATGTGTATGCAAATGAATAAGCGGGCTCTTTTCAGTTTAAATGATGTATTTACCTTCAGTATCCCAATTCTTGTTTGCTTTCCATGCTTTCATTTAAAAAACATCCCAGGTAGGAAACACTATGTTTTGAAAGCTGACCCAGTACGCGTGCTTCTATCTTGCAAGGTCTAAGAGGTTAATTTCAAGTTAGCCAGTATCTTGGTGTCTCATTACTGGGCTCAGTCCCTTCTTAAACTGATCAATTTAATGTGTTTCTGAGTGTCTGTGGGCGCGTGCTGAGTTAAAAGACATTTCACGCCGCCATTCATCCAAGCACTTTACTCTCCATTTTTAAAAAATTTAATGCAGCAGAAAAGGCACAGAACTTTTCAATCAGGAGAGCCAAAGACATCAAAGGATATTTGATATTCATGGTTTTGAATTTTGTGATTTCAGAGGAACTTCTTCACTAATGAAAATGATCCAGGATGGGACCGCTTTCCGCAAATACTCCATTCCGGTTTTGAATTTACAGCCAACATTTTATTTAAACGGTGGTTTGGGGGTGCTATCATCTATGAATGTTTATCTTGACTCCGAAGAAAGCTGAGGACTTTCTCATCAGAATTGCCAAAGATACGGTGACGTCAGCTCCCTCGGGGAGGTGGCTGTCTAAGGTCATCGTTGTTGGAGATGTGAAGAAAAACAATTGTGGGGAGGATATTTTCCATTACACATGGTTTTTAAACAGGGGAATAGAGCGGGACCAGAATTCTGTCCTTCGTGCTTGATTGCCTGTTGTCAAGTTGGTACCAGCTCGATCCCTGTGCGGCCTCTTTAGCAGGGCCCAGAAGACAGGTTTCCCAGAATCTTTTTTTTTTTTTTTTAATCTCTCCCATTAAAAACTGTTAGAAGTCTCCTCTTCTCTCTGCTGAGGAGGAGACTTGAAGGTAGACATGGAGGAATTGTTTTTCTCAGGAAACTTAAGGGCAGATAAAGATGGGGAGCCTGAAGCAACTTCCAGGGTGCGCCTTGCAAAGTATACAAGTCTGTGCTGTAGGCTGAGGTTTTTTTTTTTTTTTTGTTTTAAACAACATTTTCTGACTTTTACTCCCACAGATCTTGCAGTTCCTATGATTCCTTGCATTAAACTCCCTGTACTTTAAAACATGGAATGGCTTTTGTTCAATATTTGACCCTGATTGACATACCCTTTATTCAATGACAGTCTTCTTCCCCAGAGGCTCTAGGATTTGTCCATGTGGTTGTCAGGATGCTCAAGGAGGCCTTAGCTTCTGGAAGCAGTATGGAGGGAGCTGGGAGTTGGGAGTTAGCAGCTTGAAGAGACTCAAGGGTGATATGGAGCCAGACAGAAAATATTTTATGTTTCTATGCCACCCCATACTGCGACTTCCAGAACATCTGCTTCCTTTAGATGGAGATTGTGGGCATAGACTTTTCAGCCAGAGCACAATGCCACTGGGAGAGATTCTGGAAGCCAGAGGCTTTTTTCCTTAGATCCTGCATTATACTAGCTAGCTAGATACTCAGTTGAATATATCCTCAATTATAAAAGGAGATTTACATATTCAGAGTTTTATAATCCAACAGTGGCTGCAGAGGCTAAGAACTTGGTTGATGAACTTGGTTGGCCCATGAATATACCTCAGCAGTCCCAATTGAAAGGCTAAAGAAGGTGAACTCTGATATCAGTGAAAGATGCAGCAGCAGTAGCAGCAGCAGCAGCAGCAGCAGCAGGACAGATGCACTCATCGGCAAGAAGTAAAGGCAGACAAACAAACATCATTCATTTTCCCTCAGACCTCTTTAGATCTAGACTACCTGCTCAGAGGTCCCCCTTTGGGGTTAGGGTCTTATTTCCTCATTTAATCCTTCCTGGAGGTGCTCTTGTAGCCCCAGCAAGTCTCATAGTTGACTTCAGATCAGTGCAACATCAACAAGATGAGCCATCGCACACCATGTAGATGGCCATCAATCTCACTTACGTCCAAAGCTTCTTTGATTCCAGCTTGAGGGCTACTTCTTTGACGTGGTCAACAAGCAAGAGTTTTAAAGGCTTTGAATGGGGTATGAAAACCATGAATGAAAATGAGCTGTTCTTGTATTTTTTTTCCCTAGAGTTCTTGCACTAAAGAGAGCGTGTACTTTTATCAGTCTAGGTCAGTGGGTTTTCCACTTGTGGGTCCCAGCCCCCTTTACGGCCATGTATCAGATATCCTGTGTATCAAGTCTTTATATTACAATTTATAACAGTAGCAAAAATATATTTATGAAGTAGCAGCGAAATAACTTTTTGGTTGTAGGTCACCACAACAGGAGGAACGA